GCCCCAGCAGAGCGCTGCTAATTTGGACGCTGCTATTTAAATCGCAGACAGTCCGAAGCGAGACGGGAGGAACCGGCCCGGCGTGCTAAAGGCTGCTCGGGCGGTGGGGGGGGGGGCTCGCAGTCGGTTAGAGCAGCCCCCTCCCCGCGCTCTTCCAGCCCAGGCGGGGAATGCCGGAGTTCCCGCTGGATCGCCCAACCTCCTGCCCCGGCCCTCCTCATCCTGGGCTGGCACGCAGATGGGACATGTAGTCTTGCGTCCGGCGGGTCAGGATCCATCCTCCCCCAGAACTGCGCAGCGCACCGTCGCAGCAGGGGGAGGAAAGCCCGGGGCGCGGCTGTGGATCGCAGCTGCCTGCCTGCCTTCGCCGGGCCCGCGGGGGGGGCGGTTGGTCCCCGCAGGACGGGGAGGCGCTGGGCTGGCCCCGGCCCAGACGCCTGGCTAGCCCGAGGCTCAGCCCTGCCTTCGGCTACAGAGATTCACGGGGGGGCAAGGGGGTGGACGGCCCTGGTTTCGGAGACTGCCCTCCCCCCTCGACGGCGCCGTCGCTCTCCAGGCCGGGCCCGCGCCAAGTTGCGCTTCAAGCGCCGCCGATGGAGCCGCGGCTGGCTGCCCCGGGGCTGCCGACGGCCGAGGCTGCGATCTCCTTCGGGCCCCGAAGACCAGACGGGGCGCTGCAGCCCAAACCGAACTTAATGTAGGTCGATGCACCCCGAAAATAAACGACCTGAAATTAGCCCGGGCTAAAATTAGCCCGGCCCCTGGCCCTGCAGTGGCGGCTCCCGGATCCCCCTGGAGGGGCCGGCGGGGGGGAGGAGCAGCCGGTCCCAGCGGAGGCCCGCAGACCCCCTCCGCCCCTCGAAGCAAGCCCTGCATAAAAGGCGCCGGGTGCTGGAAATCAGGCGGGAATCTCCCTGATCCCCTGGGGCCTTTATATTGGATCGCTCTGAAAACACCATCCAGCAGTATTGCAGCGAAACAGAGGATCTCAGCGTGGATGTTCCCGATCGGCTTCCTTTACCCGGGACCCACATCGGAGCCTGGCTGCTCTCACAATGACAAGTGGCCGCTGGGGGTCATTCCTCTGACCCACATTTACATGGGGTCCCCCCCAAATATGCCCAGTGAGCTGCCCCAGGAACGCCCCCAAAACTGACACAGTTGTCGGATGGAATCTATTACAGCATAGCACAGTTGGAAGGCACCTTGGAGGTCTTCTAGTCCAACCCCCTGCCCAAGCAGAGAACCCCATATCATTCTGGGCAAATGGTTGTCCAGTCTCTTCTTAAAACCTTCCAATAATGGAGCACCTACAACTTCTGGAGGGAAGCCAAATTATCCCTTGTTCTCCCTGGCAGGAAATTCCTCCTTAGTTCCAGGTTGCTTCTGTCCTTGATTAGTTTCCATCCGTTGCTTCTTGTCCTTCCCTGGGGGGGGGGGCATTGGAGGATAGATTTCACCCCCCCCTCCTCTGTGACAGCTCCTCAAATCCTGGAACGCTGCTGTCATGTCTCCCCGGCCCTTCTCCATGTTAGACTAGACTACACGGACCCAGTTCCTGCAATTGTTCCTCATGTATTTTAGCCTCTTCTCAGCACTCTCTGTAAAGCCTCAACCTCTTTTCTGTGTCACAGTGACCAAAAGGGCACGCAGAATTCCAAGTGTGGACTGATCAGTGCAGTATAAAACAACACAAACACTTCGCCTGATCTTGGTACCTTAATTTTCCTCCTTGCTGCTCTGCATGACACTCACAACCTTAGAGGCGCAAAAATACCGTAGGCACCAGCAGCCTGATTCTGCACACGTGTTATTCGAATTGTGTCCATCTCCGCGGTAGAGATCCACAAAGGCCTGGTGCATGTGGCTGGCAAAAACGGATCCTGAGGGACGCCGTGCAGCTTTAAAGGCAACGTTTTATATCAGTCCCTGCAACGTTGCAGGTTACACCTGTTATGTGTTACCACAGTACCTTTGTAGTGCAAAACCAGACGCAAGGATTGCGCATTGAGTCAGAAGGCTCTTTAGAGGCCATCTAGACCTACTCTCTGCATAGTGTAGGATCTCTAGAGCAACTCTGAGCGAGGCCCAAACGGCGTCCACTTAAAAACCTTGGCCCAAGAAGAGCTTGCTGCTTCACACGGCAGCCTATCCTGCAGGCGTATCATTTAACAGAACAACAGAGTGGGAAGGGACCTCGGAGGTCTTCTAGTCCAACCCCCTGCTCAGTGGGGGACCCTGTACCATCCCAGGCGAGTGGCTGTCCAGCCTCTTCTTAAAAAGACTCCAGGGTTGGAGCACCCACAACTTCTGGTGGCAAGCAGCTCCAATGGTTAATCACTTGCCCAACCTGGAAGACATTGGGACTCAAAGACCCCAAAGCCTGCACCTCAGCCAGGGGCCCAAGGGGGGTCATGGAGCAATCAGACCCTCCTTCCTGGCCCCACGGGTGTTCCCGATGAGGCCACCAAGGAAGAGGCCAGGGGTGGGGGGTCAGCTCCTGGCAGACACCTCACCCGTTCAGGGGTGGGCTCCACTAAAGTCCAGTTCGCTGGGATTAGTGTGGCGACAACACACAGCTACTACGTGTGATCCCAAGAAGCCAGCCTGGATTTTCTCAAAATAACCGTGTTGCCATTTAGGACCTCTGGAGCTGGCAGGACAAAACACTCCAGCGTTGAAATCTGACACTTTGTGAAAGTAATTTGGCTGCCTTTCAACCCTATTGGCTGCACGTGGCCTTGGCTCAGCCCCCCCCCCCCCCGCAAGCCTTGCCTGTGAAAGGGGGGGGAGGAGGGGCCCACGCTCCCCACGCAGACATGAACACCCCAGGGGTCACCTGGCGGGACCTGCCTCAGCAGCCCCTTCGGAGCACCAGTTAGATTAACCAGAGGCCCCCCCTGCAAGGGAGGGGGGGAAGCTCTGCAAAGCCTTAAAGGCCTGGTGGCTGCCTAGGGCTTGGGGCCCTGGGGGGGGTGTTGAATGGATTTGCTGATCTGTCCACCCTCAGGGGCACTTCCTGTATGTTGTTGTTCTCTGGGATTGATGCTTTCGTTGTGTCAGCCACCCAGAATCACATTCACAAAATGGCAGGCCTTGTGAACCCACTGGATCCCTTGCCAGATGTTCCCCCCCCACCCCCAGCCACTGAGAAAGATGCTATCTGGGGCAAGATGTAGCTCAGGCGAGCCCTTTGAGTGCCTCTGCCCCACATCCGAGTCCAACGGCCGCTCTGGGTGAGGTCACCGTCCCGTACTGGACGCAGGAAGTGGCGTCTGGGGAGCCACTGGGTCTTGTGGAAACTCGGGTGGATCCAGTCCTCACGAGGGTGGGTGGGAAGCTGATCTGCGATTGTGGGGGCCGACTGGGCGCAGGCCCCTCACGTGACCCAAGGGAGGCCCAGGGGAAACCAGGCAGAGCCCAGCAGGGGCCATGTTCCCGGGGCACTCCAGGCCGACAGCCGCTTCCCATTCTGCAGGATCCAATCCGGGTCGGTCATCGGGACCGACCGCCTTCGCTTCCCATCCTTTCCTATCTCTCCCCAAAACAGCCCCAGGAAACAAGGACTCCTGCTGGGGTCTTTTCTCCTCCTCCTCCTCCTGGGAATGTGACCCATTTTGGGGTGAAGGAGAAGGGCAGACAAGCTGAGCAGCCCCGCCCCCCCCCAGGGTCCCAGCAGCTGGCCCGTCCCTCTCCTCGCCCTGCCTTCTTCCCACAGCTGAGCTGCTCCCAGGCAGGGCGGATCCCTTGGGAAGCCCCCCCCCCAGCTGCCCAGCACGGACCCTCCTGCCCCTCACCCCAAGAGGAGGGGAGGGGAGCGGACAGCCCAGTGGATCTGCCCGGCAGTCCCGCTTGCAACAGGAAGAGGCCTGGTCTGCCCCAGGCAAGGGGGGCCCCGGGAGGGAGGCAAAGGCAGGCAGGCAGGGCGGGAGGGCAGGGGGCCCGCAGGAGGCCCAGGGCAGGCCTGGCGCTGGGGCCTCTCTAGGCCTCCAGCCTGACCAGACAAGCGTCTCTGCCCGGGATGGGACAACTTGTTGCGGGACAATTCAACCAACCTATTTAATTATTTAAAGCAATTAAAACATTATTTTTTGTCATTCGCATTTCATTCTGTCCCTCCTTTGGCATCTTTTCTTTAATGATTCTATTCCACTGTTTCTTCGATATTAGTGTAGTTCTTGCAGCCAGTTGTCCTAGACCAGGGGTAGGCAACCTTGGCTCTTTTATGACTCGTGGACTTCAACTCCCAGAATTCCTGAGCCACGAGTCATAAAAGAGCCAAGGTTGCCTACCCGTCCTAGACCAGCCTCTGCCCACCCAGACACACACACACACACACACACACCCCGGGACCAGCTCCTGCAACAGCGCTGAGGCAACGAAGACCGGCTGTCCCCCAAGATGGGCCCCCTTTCCCCCCCCCCAGAGCCTGGCTTCACACGGCCCCAAGGCCCAGCAGGAGGAGGCCCAGCGTGACCGAGGCAGAAGCCCCGGGGACCAATCGGTCCTAGTAAGGAAAGCCCAGAAGGTGGACCACGGCCTCACGCCAGGCGGCCTGGCCAGGATCTGCGGCCGATGACAGATGGGAACTGCTGGACTCAGCCAGAGGAGCTCCAGACAGGAGGAAAAGGCCAGCCCCTGCGGACTGCCCCTCACTCCCCCTGCCCACATCGGCCCTGCCCAGGCCAGCACCACAGGCCGTGGGGGCTGCCTCCAGCTCCCGGAAGGCCCCCCGCCCCCCCCGGGAGAGGCTCCCTCCCACCGGTGGACCCACAGAGCCTCCTTGGGAAGCCGAATCGCAGCTGTGCTGGGGTGGGGGCAGACCCCTGGCTCAGAGGGGCACGATCCCCGGGCACTGCACCTGCGGCCCTCTCCTTTCCCCGCCTCGGGTCTCCCCTGGGCAGAGCAGAAGCTCTCCCCGGATGAGGGGGGACTCCTCCCGTCTAGGCCTCGCCCACCGACGCCTCCCCACCGCCCTTCCTAGCACTGCCAGCACAGAGTGAAGGTGAGTAAGCAGTTTAATAATGCCGCCCCCCCACCCTGTAAAAGAGCAGGGGGGGCAGTTTCAATCCGAGCACACCACTAAATCTACCACGGCAGCACCACGGGGGAGGGCCAGGCCCACGGCGGTCTCGCGGAGGGGTGGCAGGCGCTCAGCACGCCGAGGGCAGGGAGCCGGGGGCCACGGCCAGCCCCTTGCTCTCCAGGAAGGCGTCCTGGTTGGGGGCCCTTCCCAGGAACCCCAGCAGCATCTCCGCAGCGTCCACCGACCCGCCTGGCCGGAGGATGCAGTTCCGGTAGTCCAGCCCCACCTGCAAAGGGCGAGACAGATTCTTTCTGGGGGGGGTCCTCCCCCTCGGCAAAGGGGGCCCACTGCTTGGGGGGGAGGGCCCGTACCTTGGAGCTCATGACCCCCTCCTGCTTGAAGCGGGTGTAGAACATGTCCATGGAGTAGACCTCGCTCCAGAGGTAGCCGTAGTACTGGGCGTCGTAGCCTCCTGCTAAGTGGCCGAATGTGGCCGGCATGTTGGTGCCTGAGGGAGAGGAGGCCTCAGGAGAGGGCGGCATCGGGCCCGGCTGCAACTGGGGCGGGGGGGAAGGCGGCCGACCCCTCCACCTGAGGCTGCGCGCTTGGGGGCTCCCTTAAAGCCCTTCCAGGGCCGGCTTTGAGCCACTTCCTCCCCCTGGCTCTCCCCCTGGGAACCCAAGGGGCTGGCTTTGGCGGGGGGGGGGGGGCACCCAGTGAGATCCCTCACAAACTGGACCTCCTGGCCAAAAATGTGCCCCCCCCCCATGGATAAGCCCGGCTGTGCCTCCGTGAGGAGAGGACGGGCCATCCCCAGAAAACTCTGGCCTGGTCCACGAAGGAAGGTGGCTGCTCCCTGCGTGGATTTTGGGGTACCCTGACGAGCGCCCCGTCTTCCATCTCCAGTCCTTAGAGGCCGGCAAGGCCTTGGCTGGCAGAGCTGCTGCTGAAGGCGGCCAGGCCTCAGGCAGGCGCTTTGCTTTGCTTCCCAGGGCCAAATTCCCCTCTTGGGCAGGGCCGATGCTTCGTGCTGGGCAGCCGCCTGCCAGCCGCCCTGCTTCCCAAGACCCCAAAGCGGGGGTCGAGAGGACGAGGGGAGGGGGGGACGCTCTCGGGATGCCAGGCTGCCCCTCCCACGCGGCCTCCCTGCCCGTCACCTGGGGTGGCTGGGATGCCCAGGATCTCCTCGCTGAGCCGGGCGTATTCCTGGGCAGGGTCTGCTTTCGTCTGCTTGTGCAGGGCCTGGTCGAGCTTGGCCAAAACGACCTGGCGCAGGTTGAAGAGCCCTGAGGAGCCCAGGGGGAGAGACGGGCGTGGGTCGCAGGGCTCCCCTCCGAGGCTCCCCAGCCGGTCCCTGGGCCGCCCCTGGGCCAGCAGGGGCGGGTTCACTCCCTGCCGGGGAGGCCGTGCCCCGTGGGACAGGCAGACCCCACAGGGGCCCTGATACCTCGCCTGGCCCCAGGAGAACCGTCCCTGCAGGATGGCTGGGGAGGAGGGGTCTTCGCGGACCCCCTCAGGCAGTGTATTGGCTGGACAGGACACGAGCTCAGGTTGGGCGACTTCTGCCCATCGGGGTCTCTCGGCCCAGACTGCCTCCCAGCCTGGGAAGGGTGGGGCCCAATTCAGCCCCCCTGCTGCTATCTGTCCCTCCCTCCAAAGCAGCACCGCCCGGGGCCCCGGGGCCCCGGGGGAGAGCTGCCCAAGCGGAGAGCAGACTCCCCCGTGGGAGTGGGCTCCTTCCCCCGGAGACCCACCTCGTCTCCCCTCCCTCCGGCTGCCAGGGTGCGGCTCACCTGTGTTGGCCTGGCGGGAGCGGATCAGCTTCTCCAGCAGCTCGGAGGGGATCCGCTCGCCCGTCTTGTAGTGCCTGGACATGCGCTGCAGGGGCCCCTTCTCCCACACCCAGTTCTCCAGCATCTGGGAGGGGGCCTCCACGAAGTCTCGCTCCACGTGGGTCCCGCTGAACATGGCGAAGTCGGCCTGCGGGGGGAGGGGGTCAGGACCGGCGGCCCCTCCGCAAGGGCACTCCCTGCCCCCCCTCTCCTTCCTCGTGGCCGGGGGACTCTCCCCTCCGGCTCCCGCCTCACCTGGGAGCACAGCTGGTGCATGACGTGGCCGAACTCGTGGAAGTAGGTCTCCACCTCATCGTGCTGCAGCAGGGAAGGGGCCTCCTGCGTCGGCTTGGTGAAGTTGGCCACCATGGCAGCCACGGCCGTCTGGCGGCTGCCGTCCGACAACAGGCAGCCAGGCTGCAGCCCGAAGCAGGCCGCGTGCCC